AATACAAAGTCTATAGTTTCTTATGAATTAAGAACTCAAATTACCAATATTGACAAGCTAGAATATGAAATAAGGACCTCCTATCTTTTCTATTTGCTGAGATATCGCTACATTTACTGAATCAAACTCACCTCTTTCCATTTTTGGAAACACTTGCTCACATACACCTACCTCTGTCTATGATATGTGAATAACCAGTCCCCCTAGTGGCTTTCTCAGCCTTTTTGAAATATTCCCTTTTGAGGACTTTTTTTTTTTATGCTTAGATTTCAAGCAGTAAGGTAAGACTTTAGTGGGTTTGGAATTTCATATTTTTTTAGACCCAAATACAGCTTAGTTACTAAACTTGATAAATTATAGTGACATTCTATGGTATTGATATAGTAAGTTATGAATTTTGGTTATTTCAAATGTGTATATAAAACCGAGAAATAATTATTTAATTTCACGTCCTCCATGTGTGAAAGTTTATAAGTCTTAGCAACCTATGGTAAGTAGCAAATGAGTTCAAAATTTGTAACTAGAAGAGATAATTATTTTATATAATTCTTTATTTACTGTTCTACGTTTTAAACAAAAATATGTTTAAGAACTTATTTGTAAATAGTAATAATGTATATACATATATAATGTATTATAACTTAAACGTGACTGTATTTTACAAAATACCGGTCCACTTAAAATACAGCCAAGACAAGTCACTTTGTAAAGGCCAGTTTTATACTCTTGGATACGGTAACATGAGTGCACGTGTACCGGATCATTGCAACTTCTTTAATGTTAGGCACGCACAGCTGAAAGGTCAATATAATAAAAATAATAAATATATGTCAATTTATAATGTTATGAGGTTTAAGCTATTTAGACTAAACATTTGTGTTTTCATGTTATAATTTGTAGTCATTCTAAAAAAGCATAATCTATATTTATATCCTAATTTGTTATGGTGGTTACGAAGTCAGTCAAATAGACCGAACCCGTACAGAGAATCGATAGTGAAAATAACAGTTTTTTTTCTTAACAAAGGTTTGATAATTATCTGGAGGATATAAAGATTTCGCATGTGAAATTTGAAAATTTTCTGATTCATAAAAGTATTTTTAATCTTAAAATAAAAATTACTTTGCATGTTGGATAGTCAACATTCAAAAAGAAAGAAGGCATGAAAAAAACATT